AAAGCTCAGCGGCAAGAGTGGGCACCCCCCTCCACTGTTGTACCCACGCAGCAGCCAGGCCCTGAGCCGAGGGGTTTCCAAGTTTGCTTCAGCCAGCTTTTAGTAAGTTAGGAGAATTGTAGGTTTGTTACTTTACCTTCATAGATGACGTTTTCATTCAATACACATCTCACTGCAGTCTACGGTAGGCTGTTAGGAGCGCAGAGTTTATCTAAGCAGACATGACAATCATGTACTCAGTGGGGGATTTGCAGCCAGGCCCTGAGCCGAGGGGTTTCCAAGTTTGCTTCAGCCAGCTTTTAGTAAGTTAGGAGAATTGTAGGTTTGTTACTTTACCTTCATAGATGACGTTTTCATTCAATACACATCTCACTGCAGTCTACGGTAGGCTGTTAGGAGCGCAGAGTTTATCTAAGCAGACATGACAATCATGTACTCAGTGGGGGATTTCTTGGAAAATCACCAGCATTAAAACTCTTTTTATTGCCTGCAGGTAGTGATTATTTCATCTTTTCACCGTGCTGCTCCATAAATAAGAGGGCCACGCCTGCTCCCAGGGAATCCGAAATAAAGTACAAAGTCTTCAGCGGTGCAGGAAGCCATACACTGGGAAATACACAGAGCGTGAAAACACAATGCATGCTCAATGAGGGGTCACCTCTGTGTCATCTCTTGCCCGTGGGTCAAAAGGCAATCTCTGCATCTAATTAACAGAAAGTCTCATAAGAGGTTCATCTATTACAAAAGCAAAACAAATAAGAGGCAGCAGAAAAAACACTCTCCAGTTTTAGAGATGTAATAATTAGCAAAGGTACCTGGGTTAAACAGCATTTGAACACCTCTTCCTTTCTGGCTGTTACAATGGCTCAATTAAAGCTCTGAAGGCCGAGTTAAAGATCAGGTTTAGCCCTGGCAGATCACGCTTGAGAAATACCAAGTGCCGAACAAGTTCTGCTACTCCCATTTCCTCCGCTGCTCCTGTGGATGTAATGAAACAGGTTCCTGCTGGCTGGGCCTTTGTGCTCGGGCAGAGCGGGCGCGAAACACTACCCCTTTCTGCAGGCGCTAGAGGACGATACATGCGCTGGGGAAGGAGTCAGGCACAATTTCCTCAAGTTACTACTTGACAAAGAGGGGATACGCATTAACCTCGCCGCGTTCTGCTTTGAGATTTCACCTCAGCCCGTGACGTAACCTGTGCCAAACTGATACGCCGGGATGCTGCTACCCTTCCCGACCCACGAGGCAGAGGGAGCGATCAAAAAACCACACAGCTTTCTCTGTGCTACCTCGCCACCGAATCTCCCCTCGGACACGAGAGCTGAGCTACTGGCAGTCGCCAGCCTCTGCAGAGGCAGCGGGCCGAGGAAGCAGAGGGCAAGCTGCAGCAACAGCGCTTCTGTTTCCGTTGTCACCTGATGGCAGTTTTCCCCACATAAAACACACATTTCGGACAGGTCACTGGACAGACAGGAGAAACAGAGGTTCTGCTTTCAGCTGCTCATCAACCAGCCCATGATGGCACTCATTTTAGTGATTACCTAGAAGATAATTTACTCGTTTATTTGCTCTGCGTAGTGCAAAGTGTTTAATAAGAAGGAAGCGGGGACTGATGGAGTGAAGTACTTGGACCTTAGGGATACGGGGTCTTTATAAGGGTAGACTCAGAGAGGGCTTACTTAGGAGTAGAGAGAAGCACAAGAGAAAGGCTACTGTATGCATTTCACAACATTTTACAGAACCTTCAGGTCTTTTTTTTGTTTGGGGTTTTTTTTCCGGTAGTAGTTTATACGCTCTGTCTGAGCACAGCAGTTTTTCACAAAGCTACTTACTTTAATGACATTCAGTTTCCCTTAAAAAAAAAAAAACACAGAAATGCACAGAATACGGTTGTCCAATTATCTTACATCTCAAAACGGAGCACAAATAGCTAAGAGCACCAGCTCTAGATAAAAGGTCTGCTTTATCGGAATCAGGAGTCAGTGCACTGAAAGCCAAGATTAAAAATTCACCAGCAGCCTCGTCCAGGGAGCTTTACTGAAAAGGCCAGGCGATTCAAAAGTCTGCTTCATCGTAACATTTAAGGTACTGAATGGTGCCTCTGGTCAACCCTCAAAAGAAAGTCATAGAATTTAGACATCGCAGCAGCTTCAGTCAACAGACACAGAAAATTCTGCTTCTGTATTAAAAATAATGATGATAATAATAATAATAATAATAATAATAATAATAATAATAATAATAATAATAATAATAATAATAATAATAATAATAATAATAATAATAATAATAATAATAATAATAATAATAATAATAATAATAATAATAATAATAATAATAATAATAATAATAATAATAATAATAATAATAATAATAATAATAATAATAATAATAATAATAATAATAATAATAATAATAATAATAATAATAATAATAATAATAATAATAATAATAATAATAATAATAATAATAATAATAATAATAATAATAATAAAATAAAAATCAAAATAAAAATCAGTCTTTAATATGAGATGTTGTTGCCAGCAGGGGAGTTGCTCTGTGCAGAACCTTCGGCACAAAATACTAGGCTAGCATCATTAAACATGCTAACTCAGTAAGAATCAGCACTTCACAAGACAACGCCTTCAAGAGAGCTACAAATCAAGGAAAAAAAGTCATCCAGGAAACAAAGCCTATGACACCTTCAACAGATGACTCCAGCACGACCTAACAGACCTCACCGCGCTTTAATGACTCCTCCAGCAGAACACCTCCCCTCTCGCCACGCGTGGAAGATACTCAGTTCGGACTTTCAAGACCTCAAGCCTGTAACTTGCTGAACGTGCGTACTCCTTCCATTTGCAAAACGTCAACAACACATTAAAAAACACCCTAATGAAAGACACAGTGATACTTAGCTCCCTCAGACCCCCAAAAGCCATCGGATGGACAATGGCACATCACCAACTTGCGCTGTGCATAAACAGGTGACTCCTGATAAAAGTTGCCGTCGCCGCTTGGCAGTTCTCTTCGGTGCTAGAGTCCACGCCACGAAAATCCCAGCTACCGTTCACGTTTATCAGTTCGGCCACGAAACCAAGAACTGGCGAAGACACAGCAGCTGAACTAGCCTCTGGCTCTCATCGCGCCCTCCCAAAGCAGGTCAGGGTACGCCGACCGAATAAAGGGTCTACGGCAGGAGCCTTCACCGGCTTTGGATCGACACAGGCTACGCACCCCCCGGGCGTCCGGCTGCACCGTCTCCGTTAACAAACGCGCCCGATGCAAGCGAGCGTTAATGCACATCGGCCCCCGAGGCGGCTGCAGCAGTAACGGCGGCGCAGGCCCGCCGGAGCCCCGCGGGCAGCCCTCC